AAACTGAAAAATTAGAATTATTTAAATGAACTCAAGAAAATTGAAACTATAAGGAAAAGTGAAAATTTACATAATAGAGACTCCCAAGGGCAGACCCCTAGGTTTGGATACAAAATAAAATGTTAGTATTAAAAATAAACGTTGTCATGTGACATTCTAATGATGCTATCGACATATCTCCATAAAAAATAAATATTTCCAGGAAATATTTTCCTGCATTCATGGACAACAGTGTCAGTGAAAATTACTATACAATGGAATTCCATAAAGGTGTAGCATATTAGGAGAGCCTTATTTCTCAAAGGCACACTCATCCTGTAAATAGAAATCACCAAATTGTTAAAATTTACGTAAAAATTTCAAAAAAAAATTAGTAAAATAAGCTTACTTAGTACTTGGTTAAGTATTCTGTACTAGTTATAAGGTGTTTGTTATTAGTTTAAAAAGAATAATTATAAAGGTGCTCCGAAACTTCACCGATCACAAAATTTTAACGTAATTAAGAGTATCGCATACCAAATTAAAATTTTACCAGGAATCCGAAAATAATAATACTATGCATATTCAAAGAGGCATAAGTTCTAGTATTCAAAATTTAAAAATAAAAATTTGTAAAATGGAAATCAAGATACCCAGTTTTAAGTTGTTATGTTAAAAATTAGCTTTTTCATACAAATCAACATGATTTTCAGTCACCTTTCGATCGTCAACAGATTCGCACGAAATTACATAACCTAAAAGTTTAGAAAATTTTGTAAAAGAATAAGAAGTGTTAAAAAAAGTGAGTAAACAGTGTGGAAAGGAAAACGACAGTTATAGTAAATACAATTAATTGAAACAAGCAAATTACAAGAAAAATAAATAAATTGCTACCCTTTTTTTCTACCCCTACCCAAAAGGTAGGGTATATGATCACAAAACTTACTGGGCGTGGGGATATAGCAAGCCGAAGCACTACTTAGCCCGGATAAGTCAACGAGTGCTCCGACAAAATAAAACTAGCTCAGACCTCAGAGCGTTACACCCAGTATATCTGAATAATAATTAAAATCTTTAACTAACTTACTTTACTTACTGGTTCTCGTTATTGGGTGGTGCTGGGAAATAAAATATCGAATTCAATGCCTAAATATAAAGATTATATTTAATAAATACAAACAAAAGAAAATAATGTGCAGCTTGGGGACGTCAGCTACAAGAACATCCTATAAACAATGAGTACTAAATAAACTTGACTTAATCATATGCTGTTACTTCACATTTGATAACCTGTTGCTCATATGTTGACAAGGGATACTAACACTTTAGTACCCAAACTGTGGCCACACCCTGGGTTTACATGTACTTACACTTTATAATGGCCTAGGTTATCTCTGTTAATACACCAAAAAAAAAAAAAAAAAAAAGACAACGAAAATGTAAATTATAAAAAACTAGGGGTTGGTAAGCACAGACGGTTGGTTTTTCCTAACCTTTTAATCACTCTCTACTAACTTGTCTTGGTCGGCACTTAGTTTAACTGTTAGGCAGGCTTCGCCCTCAGATGCACGGGACTCCAGACTCTGCGTATTCGGTCTTGCCCCGAGCGTGGACAATTTACCATCTACCGGGGATCCTCTACCGTGGATCCTCTAACGTGATCCCTTCCGTGGACCCTTCCGTGGACCCTCTAGCCAAGAGGGTGCAGGAATTCTTCAAAACCACTACCACGTCCAAATCAGCTTAACCTTACTCTCTGCTACCAGTTAGCACAAATCGCAATTAGATCCTGTTGCCAGAAATCGGTCTCTTCTGACCATTCACACAGTCTTTACTGCGACCCAAAACAAGAGAACGAAACTTGGAGTGACCACCCAGATATCCCTTGCGGATGACTTTAGATTAGTCTGTTGAGAGTCACTCCTTACGACTTGTGCCTTTCACTGTCAAGCAATCCACAATGGCGAACTTCCGGAGGACGGAAAATACGTCAGCAGAATTTCGCACAGAAATATTCACCGTGAGTGCCAACTGGGAGTAAGTAGCGGTACTAACGAGTACAGTAGGTACTGTTAGTTGCATATAGTTAAGGAGTTTTATACTGAATAAATGCTTACTGCGATTTTGGAATGTAACAAAATCATATGAAACAAAATAAAAATATTAATATAAATGTGAATGATTGGGGAACTTAGCTCAAATTAAATGGTACTCCAATTTGGAAACACCATAATAAACACCAAAACTTATACTAGAAGCAACAATTGATTACAAAAGTTCATAAAAAAGCATAGTGGTCCAGAGAAGAAAATTAACAAGCTCTCAGTCGGTAACACAGGAACCTGAGTTACCCACATAAAAATATAGAATGAGGCGAAAAGAGGATTACGATTGGAATACCGGATACAACCAAAACCTGATCATATTTTGCAAAATATTTCAAATAAAGTCTCGAGTACTGGTTTCTATTTAGTTAATGTAGTTAAGGTTTAGTTTAAGGTTTATTTGTGTTTTTCTGTCCAACATAATTTCAAAAAAACATAACAGATGGTTTGTTAAGTCTGAATTCATTTTTTTATTTCAATTCTTTGGGTAAAATCAGTAAAATCAAAATTAAACACACAACATTTTTCTATAATTAAATATATTTCTTTAAAGAACAAGTTAACCCCAAATAATTGTACGAGTTTTGAACCAGCCACCCTGAGTTAAGTGAGCAAAATAAAAAGTAATTATAAAAGCAAAATGTATAAAAACTAAAACCATATAACAAACAATTTATAATATAACACCAAATTATATATCATATTAGTATTGTCAAATTTGATGCAGAACGCACATGTGCGTCCACAGTAAAGAAACCAGAAATGTGCTTTATAAACATTTATTTTCACACAAAACAATTTTAAATTATATTTATTTATTAAAACAGAAAACCATAAAGAATACAAATTTTATTTCAAATTAAAACTACAAAATAACACAAAATTATACTTCGTAAGAACAAAATGCAACCCTAAATTGTACTCTGATATGCCGCAAAACATGCTAAGACAGAGTCCGGGAGATTGGGAGCACATAGCAAAATGTTACGTTGTGTTTTTACGAACATTTCTCCTGAAACAAATTCTGCACTTCTTTCTGCATGTCTTCCCCTGCGCTGTCTCTTTTCCTATTTCCTCTGACAGATGAGGAGCAGATAGTAGGTGTCTTAGTCTTTGTTCCATCTTGCGGAAGCATTTTCTCTGCCACCCTTAAGCGAAAATCATAGAAAGAAAGACGTTTCACAGAATTATTAGTATGCAGATGCTAGAGTTATGACGCATTATTTGAAGAAAATGGATGCCTACTTTCTTGACCTTCGCAAAACATTCCGTGTATACGGAGAGTATGTCATCATCTGATCCATTCGATCTATGCCTCTCATGCTTTTATTATATTCTACGATCGACAGAGGTTTTTCCTTTTCTTCGCCCAGTCTGTTTTCCACCAAAATCATCTCGATTTGGAATTTTGTTGATATATAAGTGACATCTTGCTTATCTTCATTTCCCCACCATAACGTCATTGCTTTTGTCTTACCTTGTTTCAATTTTGCTGACACAGCGTTTTTGGGTGATCAGAGGGTTCCTGTGCAGTATGTGTTTAAAACAACTAATTTCTTCGCCAAATTATAACTACTATTATAGAAGTTATCCATAAAGATTGAATGATCGTTTCCCAGGTTCTCACGTATTAGATGTAAAATGACCTCAATTGAATGTCCTTTGTCGCCTATTTCATTAACTTGACCTATATATAACGCCATGATTAGTATCAAACCGTCAGGTTTAGTAAGGACATACATTTTTATCATACTTGTGTCTTTTATATTTAAGGTTGCTTAAATAGAAGTCTTCTTCTCCACAATAACAATGATTCATCAAGTCGCAAGTTCTTCATTTTTCTACGAAAGTGATTAAGCAAAGGACGAATCTAGTACAAACGATCCTTTGGTGGAGCCTCCTCTTCTGCAGGATTTACAATGAAATGCAAAAAGCGCAAAATTAGAAGAAACCTGTGCTGACTACACAAACAACCCCACTTGTCACGTGCTAAATCTGTATTATTATGTAGAATTTTTTTTTTTGTAGATATTGAGAAATTATATTCTAAACATCCTATGTCAGAAGAATGATGTACTGCCTCAAAGCACTGCCCAACTAATATTTCAATTCGTCTTACCATGCCGGCAACTACCTCAGAATTTTTCGTTTTTTTTTTATTCATATATTTAATGTCGGCTTATTTCCGTTACCAGCACCGATCACCGTCGCCCGAGTTGAGCCACCACTAATCTGTAAATTATGCTGAATTTCTTCTCTATCGAAGAGTAATAATTTTTTTTACTTGCCTAACATCGAATAGACAAGGGACTGACTTCTTTACATCCCCTCTAAAGGATGGTATATCACCTATACAACCCTCGTCTACGATTGGATAGCTTATGCGTATACGCTGATATCAAAGCCGCTAGAAGACAGGATGAGGTCGCAAGTTTCACTTCAAATTACTGACTGCGACAACCGTTGCTTAACTTTCGTGTCGAAATACGAGTATGTGTAGTTACTAGCACTGAAAAAAATTTTCACCAACACCAAGACAGTCGACACTATATTCGATGCGCGTTTCACCGTCCAAGTTTTCATCATCAAGGGTGATTAAAACTTTGAGTTCCTCAAACCATTCAGTCAAAAATTTTCAACAATATAATACAAGCCTAGAGTCAACTTATCCGATTCAAGAGCCCCAAAAGCCACCTAACATGCTTATTAGCAAAACTCCTAGTGAGATATATAATAAAATGGCATATACCTTCACTTGGAACACGCTTGTATACTTACCTATATGTATTGAAATACGAGCCTTTGGTTTGTATCCGTGTATGCTAGCATCGGTTCCTTCCTGAGATTTTGATCTGTCTCTATACGATTCCATCTCAAATAGAGAAAATTACTGTGTATGAAATAGTATATTTTATCGGCTCAGTGGTTCAGTGTTCATACGTTAGGCTTAAGACCAAGAGGTATCGGGTTCGAATCCTGGCTAGGGCAAGGTTGTATATACCGAGAAGCTAGCACAGTTGGCTATAACTATGTTGTGTAGCAGAATACGTCTAGCTACTGTCTGTCTCATCTGGGTTCTAGTTTCAGCTGTGGCATCTTGTGAATGTCGCAGGGAATGGTTGTTGTGTATGTCTGTCCTGGTAAAGTGGTGGAGTAGCAATGTGCTAAATTCCACCAGGACGTTAATATAAATAAGTCGTTAAAAAAATAATAAAGGAAAAAGGTACATTGGAAGACACTGGTCATCTTACGACTGGCTGACGACCTGGTCACTTGCCGGTAGAAAAAGAGCTAACAAAGGTATATTTTGACCCTGTCTTTTATATTCCATACAGTGGAGGAAATAATAGATGTTCCACAGACGTCGCAGAAACTTTTAACGTCAGTTCTCAATGTTAGTGCTAATTTTTACGTAACTTTTAAGTAATATACAGGGTGGGGCAATAGTGCATCCGACTTCGATATGTCGAGTTCTATGACAGCTAGAAACTTGACCTAAAAATGGAAATAAACTAGACGAAAAAGGCTATAACCGAAAATTATTTTCGATTATACAGGGTGAGCTAAGATGAATCTATAGGGTCAAGAAAATTTTTTTTAAGTGGAATGCCATGTACATCAGAACATTTTTTGAAACCTCTTTGTAACCCCCTTCCACTCCTCTATTATTATTGACTCTCTCCTAACTACTTCGATGTAATGATTTTTTTTAAATTATGCCATTTACACGTTTATATTAAAAAAATAACTACAGTCACAATTATAGATTTTAAGAAAAAATATGTTAGTACTAGTTATTAGACATCTGTGTGATGACACTCAGCCATTTTCACTTCCTAAAATTATACAGGGTGGCCAAAGATAATTTTTTTATTTACAACTATTTGAACAGAATTTTCTCAATTTTTCAAATGGAACACCCTGTATATTTTTGGATGATGTGATGTAGAATTGAAAAACGAAAGTTTTTTGGCTATTTGTAACCATTTTCGATTTATTGAACAATAACTGCAAAATTCCGCTATTAAAATTAAAAATATATTTTTTTTGTAATTCAAGAGAAGATATTATAAATAGTGCTTCACATGTTGCCGATTTTGATTGACACATATTTCTATGAGTCTTTGGAATGAGGTTTCTACTGTTAATAAAATTACCGGAGTGATACTTCTTAAAGCATTTACTAGCCTTTGCTTCAAATTTTGGATTGTTGTTGGTGTGATGTTTTTATGAGCATCATGTAACACGCTTATTATAATTCCTTCTCTTGAATTATTTGAAGGAAACCCTCATTTTTAATTTTTATTGATGAATTTTGCAGTTATTGATCAATAAATTGAAAATGGTCACAAATAGTCATAGGAATGTACGTACAAAACTGTTCGTTTTTCAATCCTAGTCCAAAAATATACGTTTGAAATAATTGAGAAAACTCAGATCGGATTATGCTGATTCATCTGGATATATGAAAGATGACTTATTCCTCGGCCTCAGAAAAGTTTAGTAAACTATATGTACCTGGTGTTTTAAACGAAGTAGCACAAATAGTACCAGTGAATCTATCTAGAAGTAAAATTAAGACGATTGAACCAAATACACCTTAGTCCATCATATTAAACGATAAATTCGTATGAAGTATTTTTCTTGTTTTAAAGAGTACAATTATTGATATTTCGTATTGGAAAATTCATCTATTGATATTTTGTACCACTCCAACCAGTGGTAGCACATGTTTCTGGTAAATTACTCAACTATTATCGCTTTTTTGAAATAAATGTACGAGAGGAAAAAGTTTTATTTCCAGCGCTTCTATGTAACATGTAAACACATATATATTTTTATACATAGTCGATTGCAGAGCCCCGTGAAGAGGTTTGGACAATATTAATGTGAAGTATGTCCAATTAATAGACAAGCGTCTGTACCAAGTATCAAATTGCGCGACGAAACGTTCTGGATTTATTAATGAAAATATTTATTTGCTCCTGAAGATTCAAGAGTCTCTTAATCCATAGATGTGCAACTTTAGAGGTATGTTTGGTTCAATCGTATTATTATTACTTTTAGACTCACTGGTACAATTTGTGCTTTTTTATTTAAAATCACCCTCTATAAACTTCTTTAAATATCTAAATCATTTTAAAAGCAAAATTTCATGTATGGTATATCATTGTATTTAGAATTATGCATTAAATCTAATTATTCAAAAATATATTGAGTATTCCTTTTAAACAAATTACTTAAATTGCCCTCTGTATCATTTAAAAATATTGTAAAATTTGACCTAACCTAACCTAACTTAAATATTCAAAAAAAGTACAGTGTTCCTTTTAAACTATTATATTATTAATAGAGAGGGTATTAGTTTAACGATATTGTAAAATTAAACCCAACCTAACCTAACCTAACCAAACCTATGTATTCAAAAATATAACGGGCGTTAAGGAATTCTTTTTTACTGCCCTCTATATTGTTTAAAAATGTTGTAGAGAAATTTAATATAAATCCACTTATAAACTACTAAAATATTCATGGTAAAGTAAACAGAAAAATTCTCATAAAATTCCTTTTATTAATGTGACCGGTTTCGTGAACAAGTAATTACTTCACATCTTCAGACACAGGAATTTTTATAAATAAAAACCAGGGTAGTCAAATTAAAATTAAAATAGTTTTGCAACATAGTCAAAATTGTAAATAAATGTAAGATATAAATTTTTGTATCTAATTAACTATCTAATAAAATTCTTAAAATTTAACGTGCTTTTTCTTTTAAACACATACATACACTACAACAGTTAAAATACTTTACCATGAATAATTACTCATATGGGATTAACCTACCTATATTAAAATATTATAAAACGAATATGGTATCGTGCTCTTGGTAAAGGAGATTAAAATATGGAATGAAATGAAATATAATAACGTTAGAAAATTTTTGCTTATTATTATTTTCTAACTTTTACAAAAACTTATCACAGATAAGTATAACATATCTTTTTAAACAATTATTTTCCCGTCTATTTACCAAAACGCTAAACCTTGGATTATCAAAAAGATAACATGCACAATATGTTCAGTACGACTGACTCAGTAATGATATTATTTTCTCACCCCCTCAAAATGAGGAAGTTATGTATTCGTGAAAAAAATTTTGAAAATTTCTATTGCATTTCTAGACGAACCTCGACGAATTATGACGATACACAAAACTTCAGGCAGAAAAAATTTTCTATCCCTGTGTCTGTCTGTGTGGTTCGCGATAGTAGCTACAGTTTTTGAGATAAAGTTTTCAAATTTGATACACACATTCTAGAGGTCAAGGAAGAGGTTGAGTTCGTTGATGAGCAAAATCGGTCACAATGTCTAAAAAAAATATTAGTGACTTTCCACCAATATGACTTTTTTGAAACGGCAAAATGTGATTTTTTTGAAACGTCGGAAAATGTGACTATTTTGAAACATTAAAGTGACTTTTTTGAAACGTCAAAATGTGACTTTTTAAAACGTCAAAAATGTGACTTTTTTGAAACATCAAAAACTACTTTTATTATAAACCACCACACGTCGAGTTTTATTACGGTGAGGAAGTTCTGATCTGGATATTTTAAAGTTTTGAAGTGATTGTTCAACTAGTGAGTACTTTTGTTTTATTTAGTTTTGGTTTACTGAACATAGTAGTTAGAATTAAAAATGACATTATTGAGTCAGTTGTACTGAACATAATGTGCATATTATATCCAAGTTTCAGCATTTTGACAAATAGCCGGGGAAATGATTGTTTAAAAAGATATATGTTATACTTATTTGTGATAAGTTTTTGTATAAGTTAGAAAATAATAAAAAAATTTTTAGCGTTATCATATTTCATTTTATTCCATATTAAAATATGTTAACAATGAATGAAATGGACGAAATAGTTTTATAGGGATCACCTTGTAGATGCATATTGATGGATATTTTTTTGACGCATGGACAGTCAAAATGTTAAATATTTATTTGTTCTTCTGCTTAGATGAATTTTATATACCCGTCGCATGCGCCACATTTTAGAAAACATCGAACGGCCAAGTGTTGAGTAGCAGGAGAACAAGATTAACGAAAATATTGAATTTCCCCAAAAAATCGAGCATTAATTAATGACTGTCTGCAGTTATATCTTTTACAATGGCGTAGTTTTTTTACATATTTCCATTTGTCCATTATTATGACCTTTGAAAACAATCTGAAATTTTATTTATGCGACGAAATAAAAGACAAGTAAATTTGATAGACCACTGAATATTCCTATTTATTTTCGAGTTGATTGCTTTCGTTTAAATAAGGAATATACGAGTGTTGATCCATTTTATGAGATGTAGGCGTAAACATAAAAGTTTTACAATGCACACTAAGAACGACACCTTAACTTTTGTCCTACACCAAACACTTTAATTTTATGGATATGGCTTTTCAGGGCTGTACATTCACAGTGACTAACTTTTTCATTGTATTTGAAAACTGTTATTACAAAACGAAATAAGCTTTTAATATTACTTCTTTTTAACAGCAATTCACGAAAACTACGTTACAGTATGAGTAAATATATTTAATATTAAATCAGTGTTGTATTGTAGTAAACGGATGTTCAATTTGGACAGCCCTGAGAAGTTATTTTACTAAGACATAAATTCAGCCATTTAAGATCAACCACTCAACTTTCACATTTTATTGATGGCTGTAATACTATTAATCTCTTTTTTATTCTAACGGGATTTTTATAAAAATTGCTTTGCTAGAATTTGTTTGATTCGGATTTTATTTTCACATATCTTAAATTTTGATCTTCATGTATCTGTGGTAAGTTAAGTATGCAGTGCATATTTTCAAATAAGAATTATTTTTAAACAATTATTAACAAAAACAACTTATTATAAACATAAAGTGTAATAGAAAAGTTTTTATACCGGCTTATTAATAGTTGGAAAATGTATTGTTGGGTAAGG